GAAAAGCTAGGGAAATACGCTGTGGTCAAAAACTGCTGTAAGAACATGAAGTGATCGGGTGTCCCCCAAGAGGCCCGTCGCGCGGCGAAGGAAGAGACGCAGATGCGGCAAAGGACGAGTCGCAGCGCGTGCTGTGCGATATGAGACGTAGTACACTGGTGTGCAAAAACTTAAGGACGAGATAAATGAAGTAAATCTAACTTATTTATAGCTTTGTGGACCTTTTAACGGTTCCTATTAATTTGCTTTTTGTACTATACTGAACAGTTCCTTATATGTGTGGTTAGGTTCTATAGAGCTGTTTTACTCGGCAGTAATACGTCACGGAAAATTTAGGTTCGTCCTTAAGTTTTGCACACCAGTGTATGTCTCTATTTGACCTGACGCCCAGTATGCGCTCCGACTCGTCCTTTGCCGCGTGTGCGTCTCATCCTTCGCCGCGCGGCGGGCCTCTTGGGGGACACCCGAAGTGATCATAGGAATTCTATGCAGCTAAGAAAAGGTAGGCAGAGATCACAAATATTCCTGCTAAAGGTGAATAAACAAAAAACAGCATTGTTCCCCAAATTGGTCGAGGTCTGAATTGACAAACATGAGATGTAGTCCTGCCAGCGCATTCCTCATGGCGTTTTAGTGGAAAGACGGCGAATTCATTCCAGAGAGACAGCCTGGGATTGGGCATTCCCAAGCTTATGGGCCATGCTTTCTAGTAATTTTCGGCAAGAAATTTCGCTTGATTCTTATTTCACAAGGACGCGTTGGACGTATTATACCTTCATGAGCGCTTCCACAGAACTGTTCTTGCCAACTAGAGTAGCTTCTCTTCTACACTCAGATCAAGCTCAGCTGGTGCCTAGATCCTTGATATTTTGAACGTGATCGATATCAGATCCCTAGAGATTATTAGCCTTCTTTCGAAGTAACGCAACAAGCACCCTGAGGCAATAGGCCAGTGATTGCCCTATGAAAAAGTGTAGGCTTAGCCCCAGAACTGGTACCTTTGACGAGGGGAATCGTGCTGACTGAAACAAACACATAAGATAAGCATCGAAAACTATCTCGATTTAGTTTCCAAGTTGTATTTGGTGCGCTATTGACACTATGTATAATTTGTGGCTGTATTATGGAAGAAATACAGAAGGGGTTCTTCTGCACCAAACTTCCTACTACCTTGTACACGAGCTGCAAAATGTGAACGCATACCGATTTGGGATGCCGTTGAAGGGTTTCTCCATCAAAATGTGATTTTTGTAAAAATGTGAAGCGGGGCTCTAACTTCTTCATTCGCGATGCATCTACAGGCGCGTAGTGCTAACGCGTAGTTATTTGATTTTACGCATCCTCGAGAGCAACGCTAAACGACATAAGCATGTTCAAATTACTACGTAAAAACTGTTCTATTTTTTCAACGTCACATATAAAATGAATGTTTCTTTCAGATCCATGAGGACATGCGTGCAAAGAATATCTGCGTCTCTTTTGCTGCAGCCAAAGGTTGGTATTGTTTTCCTTTGATTAATTAATTGTAAGTAGATTTAGCAATGAACAAAACCACTTACATCGACTTGCTTCATGTTTTTGGATCAAGTGCACTGCTAACAAGATCAAAATCATGTAAGCTAAACCGCTTTGCAACAGGTAAATTGGTGCTTTGACAGTAGTACTGATACAGAATATCATACTGCAGAAAGGTTTCCCATAGGTTTTACAGCGTAGTTCCAGTGTGACTACCAAAGCAACGAAAATACGAAATTGGGTTTTCCTATGAAGCCATCCTCTTTTTCTTTCGGCGTACACGGTAATCCCCCGAGGATGTCTTCGTAGTAAGCTGCGCCGTTAAAACCTTACTTCACTCTCATGAGGACAGGGATAGCGGAAAGAGGGTGAGACGGAGAGGGAGTGGGCTAGGTATGAGGAAGGAATTCGTGAGCTTCATCAGCGTACTAGTCTTTACCTAAGTTACAAATTATGGTAAAGGATAAAGCATTTGCCGTTGATCAATCCCTTTTTATGCTTCCGTTTGTATTTGTACATTCGTAGTGGCGTTTGAATGCGATGTGGCCTATACAATGACTTGCGGGGGCCAGCCGATGTACAAGTCAGTGTTTTTATCCTCCTCCCAGACAAGTCTGGTCACCAATTCCCCGACAAGTCTGGTACCAATTAACCGACCCCGGAGGGATGGAAGGCTTGGTTGGCCCGGGCGACTCACGACCCAGGATTTGATCCCCGGACCGCTCGCGTGGTGAGCGTGCCACTTGCCACTACACCACTTCCGCCCCAGTTTCTTATTACCCTTTGATAGCATAATGGTTATTGTAAATTATAATACTGCAATTTCAGCTCCGGTACGTGAACTGTTCGAAGCCAGTGGGCTTTATGCAACTGTGGCCAAAACCAACTTCTACCCTACAATATACGATGCGATAGCATACGCTCAAATGGAGAGGTTGGTCGCTTTGTCTCAACCTTTGAGCGGTTGTTGATCCTGATTTTGAACACTAGAATATACACAATTTCTTCAGAGGCGTCGCGACTCCTGATAATTTTGCATCCCATGATAGCTACGCCAATCATGTGGACACTACAGACGAAGCTGTTCAATGTCCTGAATCGTCTCCAGAGCGCCATTCTGTGTAGAACGGCAATAGCGGACGGATTCCGATGAAGGACCGTCGATTGGGTTACGGTCTTTCGAATGCCTTCCGATTCGCGTTTTGCTAGTTGATATCTATTCTCATTGAGAAGCTTTAACTTTTGCATATGGTGCACTTGGAAGGAAATGCTCAGTCGTGCCGCACTCTCATCGACTAGCAACTTCCAATGCTCCACACAGCGACATTGCTAGTCCACTTCAGGGAATCGGCAAAGTTCCCCCGTATTTCTTAAGATTATATAATAGAAAAAAGCTAATTTTGGAAAAAACTAAAAAACTAAAACTCATTTTGCCATTAGCCTACTGGTTACTCTCAATAGCAACCCTCTTGATCACGTACATTTGTACAACCTTGCACGACTGTGCCTTGTCCAATTCTAGGGATTTTTCAGCAAGGCAGTAGCAATCAATTAGTTCTGATCGCTTTTTTGTGTGTGTCAGGCTATTCATCAACATAGGTTCAATCTAATTCGTAAAAATGATAGGTCGCGTCGCGACCGCCCGCGTCTAAGCCGTGCACAAAACATGGGAGAATCAACGCTAAGCATTTGTAGAGTAAGCAACAAGGAAAACGTGTGACAACAGCATAACTCCATATTAGACGGAACTCTGTCGATTTCGTGAAATAATCTATGTTCTTGGATGACCGGGGGCTCGGAGGGGACTTTGACTCTGATGCTCTCGTGATTTTTATGTTGACATATCACTTGAAAACGAGTATATTGTGTTTAATTGAAATGAATGATTTATGTGCGAAACTCTGTTCTATAGATATCACGGTTTTACAAGGTGAGGCATAGAGTCGAGGAAACTGACAAAGTGAATAAGGTGACCCTCTCTAGAATGGTAAATGAGTGGAACTTTATAGAGGTGAGTGATCTTCCACTCCCTCCCTTACCATTAACTTTCAAAGGTGGATTTTTCGATGAAAAGGCAGCCCTTTGGAGATCGTAAGTTAGATCAACCAATCATCTAATCGTAAGTTAGAGATGGTCAGTGACGCACGAAAGAGGGAAAACCAAGAAAAACGGACCTAGAACCCGAGAAATGAGAACCCTTCCTTGCCCGTGGATTTCCTCATTGATCAATCAATTCTCATCGGTGCTGCCCCCTCAACGCTATGCTGTCGCTGCTAAACAAGTAGAGACTAAGCAACAAGAGGGGGCGTTCCGCGCCGAAAGCGCCGCTAGGAAGGTCATGCTAGATCGCCGGGGATATACCCTTCGATGGATTGCGTGTCGGTCTGCACCCTTCAGAAGGTCCCCTTTCTCTCCAGGTAAGTCAGGTGAGTTTCCCCTTCCTCATGATATTCGCCCTTATCGTGGAATCTTTCAATGAACACTCGATTTTGAGACGATCATACCTTCCTTCAAATGCAGTCTTACGCGGAGCGAAATTGAGACGAGCGGAATTCCACATTATTTTCTTTCTCACAAGAAAAATGACTGAAATGAATGAAAATGAATGAAGAATGAAATAAACGAGTCGAAGCTATCGTAAATTCCAGTTCTGAAAAGACGTACTACTACTGCATGTGTAGAAAGCCCTCGAAAATTTGCACGGAATTTTGAATGAAAATCTGAAGAAATCGATAGAGTCATGAATGCTGGTTAAGAACATGGAGACCAAAATGCTACGTCAATTTTCCAATCAAGTTGTTGAGAGTTAGCAGGAAGTGGAGCGTCAGCAGATGAGGCGAGCTAATCTAACCGTTTCAATTTTTTTTTCGCTGGATTTCTGCTCAGAGGGATGAATAGGTGGGTTTACCACGAATATGATGACCGTTTTTGACACGGGAGCTATGTGGCGTTAGCCTGGCATCACAATTTACAAATTTGCTGCAAGAAACTACGAGTCTAGAGCTTCTCAAAAAGTACCAAAACTTTTTTGAAGAATTACTTTGGCAAAGAATAGTCGCGTTCTGCTTTTGTCTTCTCTGTGAATTCTTCACGCTAGTCTTCTTTCTGAGAAGCAGGGTCAACCCTA